ACTATTCTGTGTGCTGGGGAGTATCTATCAGGACAGTTCTCGGCTGAGAGAGACGGCTGCAGGAAGCAAGAAGACCGTAACACACGTTATCACTGAAAGTATTATATTTTAGATCGAAACATTTCAACTTGGTCTGTAGTTAGTTGGTCCGGGATCCACAGCTCCCTGCACTCAATTCTACAATTTTTGAGGCTGACCTGAAAGGGTTTCCTAAGTGACCAGAAGCTCAGTGGTTAACACCCAGCCTCCGGGTCTCAGGTTTCCTTAAGAATCCCCAGAACTCAGGTCCCCTTCATCCTACATCCGACACAGCGAGATGGGTGAACCAAAGCAGAGAAGTCGGGACATTTTTTTTCTGAGCCTACAACTATCAATCCTTAGTGGCAGAGGCTTTTTGGCTAAAACCCCTCAACTGGGTTCAGGAGGTCCCAGGGGAACAGCCAACTGTTTTCTGAGTACAGCGGGCCCCCTGCCCATCCCCTCCCTGGGGGATCCTGCAGCCAGCCTCCTTCCACCAGACGCTGAGGTCCCACAATGCCCAGTGTCCCTTCCTCAGAGCCCCATAGGATGACACAGAAGTTATGCACATAGATGTTTCTGTGAAAGGAAAAGGAAGTGAGGTAAACACCTGTCTGACCCATTCACCGGCCAGCTAAGGAGAATTCTTTCTTTTGAGCCTATCAGACAGAAATGGGACCCAGGAGAGTGAGGAAGTAATGACTGAGCAGCCCATTCCAGTTTTGAACGGAGGAAGCCTTTGCCAAATACAAAGAAATATTGGCAAGAGCAGGCCACGAGACAGTCCCATCCCTGTGGCCTTGTTGGGTTTGGTTTTGTTTTTTATGTGCCACTGAGGGGCCACAATACCAGTAACAGTAGCCAACAGTCTCTTATTATCGACAGAGCATGGTGCTGGGGGAACACTTGACAAGTCTATCAACTCACACCACCCTCGCTGAACAGCTCAACCAAATACATCTGGCTGCACAAAGCAACACGTGCCTTTCCCCCAAAGCACACAACCCGGCCACACAACTGACCTTTCACTCCAAAGTCTCATTCAGTGGGATTAACTGCATTTACAAAATTCCTTTCCAAATCACAAAGCAACGTCAATATTTTAAAAAACGTTTATTCTCCAAGGTCATCAACCTGTCTATGGTTATTCTCCAGCCAATTTATCTTCCTGCTGTTGCCATAGATAAAACTATTTTTAGTGCACAACTGGTTGGAAGGCAGTTTTTTTTTTTTTTAAATTTTATAACCCCTGCTGGTTGGCATTCATAAATGCCTCTCAGAGCTGTGTTTATCAGCTGACAGAAATTACTATCCCACCTGTTTTTTTTTTTTTTTTTTTTTTCTTCCCTTTGAGAGATTTCAGATAAGAAGGAAGTACAAATTGTAGGTGGCAGCTATTGAACAAAGGATAACTAGTGACAGTCTGGTCTGGCCATACCACCCTGGTGGCTGACTCAGAGAACTCCCTGCTCAGTGTCAGCTGTCAGCACCATTTCTGGTTGGCCTGAATGCCTGGATCAACACATCCTGGTTCCCCTGCAGTCCCTAATTTGGTAAGCTCTTTGGATGAAACAGAAATGTTATTTTAATGGCTAACTTATTACTGTTCAAGACCATCACTTGTCCAATATCTGAGAGGAAAGACAGAACAATACAGAATTTATTGAAAAACTTTCAACTTAGGGAACACTTTTTTGCTTTTCACTTGTTTGGTCTACAATTTTATTTTCAAAAATAAGTGTTGTGCCCTAAAGCAGGTCCAATACACCACTGCTACACAGTATATGCCAAGAGTTCCATTTAGAAGAATCATATTTCCTTTTTTCAGTATCTCAGTGATGTCAATTGCCTTACAAAGTCCCACTCATCCTGCAAGACTAAACACACATGTCTCCTACAGAGGGAGGCCTTCCTCAGATGCTTCAAGAAGAACCTTTTCTTTTAGCTTCTACACAACCTTGTCAACACTCTACCCCACTATTACAACGATCACTTTGCATATGGTAGTCTGTGACAATGTCTGCTCCCACAGTTGGAGTGGACCCCAATATCTAGCCCTGCATCACACAGATCTATAAACATTGTTTAATAAATCAGTTAATCAAAGATCATAGTTTACACATACATACACACAGTACTTGTGCCATCTGCAAATCCTGAGCAGAGTTGGAAGTCATAAAGGGGACCCTAGAAACTTTAGATATCTTCTTTGCAGAACCTACCCATGTGCTAAGAGCAGCCCTACACGGTCTGATTCAGGGTGCAGACCCCTTCAGACCAAAGTATTTCAGTTGTCTTATTCAAAGAGCAAAGCTGTCTCAGTAGTGTGTTCACTGTGCCAGACACCACAGCACTTACAACTAAAGAAATACTTGAAAGTAAATATTTGAGAAAAAAAATCTTCAGAAAAGTTACCTACTATACTAGTCACATTTCATCCACCCATTATCACTCTAGCCACCCAACTAGTACCCACTCTGGAGGGGGACCTAGAGAATTTAATGCAATCTGGTCCTATGTATGACGCTGTCCAGGCTCAGGGCTAGCTTTTCAGTGACTTCATTCTTTCTCAGTCCTAATTATGTTCCAACTGAGAAGGATTTCCCAAAAAAAAGGCAAACACCCATCTTGGTGTAAGGCTGGGATTGTGGTTGGAAACCCACTTGGACCTAATGGGGATCTTTCCCAGGAGTAACACAGTCTTTCTTCCAGAGCTAAAGAAAAACTGCATTGAAGATGACTGCTAGTCTCTTGGTTGAGGTATACAAAATCAAACAAGCACGTCTACAAGACTAGAAAACAGATAGGAGTACCAAAGGGGGCCCTGGCTTGGACTTGCCTACTTGTTTAGCTAAACCTAGGGGAAATATGATTAGAGAAGTCTCAACCACAGAAAAGTACTCACCCAAATGATGAGTACTGAACATCACAATGAACAGATGAACCAAAAAGGCGCAAAGCAAAGCCCTGGCAGTATGCTCTGAGGTATCCATCTTGGAAGAGATATGAAATGGGAACGATGTGGCTAGCATTTCTTTCACAGAGCATCTAGAGAGATGAGAAAAGATGCAACAAAGAAGGCAAAGAAACATCACTTCCAAAGGGCAACCTAGGTGAAGATGGTGCCCACTGTGCTAAGACTTAAATCAGAAAGAAGAAAGCAGTTTGCATAAACCCAAGTCCCACAACTGGGCTCCTAGGTGGCCAGCAGCTAATTTCTACTTTGTATTGATAAAAATGAAGCCTACCTGGATTAAGCGCACTCCAAATCAGTGTTACTCTATCACGAGTGGGGACAAGTGGCCCTTTCTTTTCATCACTGGAAGGAGGAAAGTTTAGGTGTTAAAGACGTTCATTACCTTTGAGTCTCAAGATAGGGACAATGCAGAAAGTTTCCCTTGCTTTTTAAACTGGTGCCACCAATACACTTGGCTTGATAGGCGAGGCAGGAAGGGGAGGAAATCTCTGGGAATTCCCTAAAGTCCTCTAAGCCCTTTGAGCCAGTACGGCGCCTCTGGGACGTAGAAAAGAAAGGTTTCGTTCAGAGCTGAAACAGGACCTAAAATTGAGTCCAGGTGGGGTGTCAGCGCCAAGGGACCGGTTTCCGTGCGTCTCCATCCCCAGGCCCCCGACAGCCGGGCAGCCTGGACAGGAAGCGGGACAGCAGCTACTCACCCTCCTGTTGGGCGCCCCGGGAGCGCTGGAGCCGCCGCTCGAGAGCAGGGTGACTGTGGATGTGGAGCGCAGCATCCCTCAGCGGCGTTGGTGGCGGTGCTCGGCGCGGTGCTTCTCGCAAGTGTAATAAGCCCGGGGCCGCTCCGCTGGAGGCGGGGAGGGTGGGGACCGCTCAGGCCAGTAGCGCTGGCAGGGGCAGCGCGGGGGCGGGGCTGAGGCCCGGCTTGGGGAGGAGCCGGGGCGGGGTCCCGCACTCGCCTGACTCGTCAAGCTGCATTTTCTCCCTAGGGCGCAGACCCAGCCCGTGTTGGTCACCTACCTTCCCCCACGGCTCTGCGCCCTCCCAGGGCCATTCCCGGAGCGGGACTGAGTGCCTACCAGGCGTCCCTTCCAGCAGCCAACACAATCCACGGGCCCCTATCCTATGGAGTTTGCAATCTGGTGGGGATACCGAAAGATGACTGGCGTCGGTGCTTTGGTAGAAGAGGTGATACCCGTGAGAGCTCAAAACGTGGCCTTAGGAGTTAGCCTGTGTAGGAAAAGTCTTCCCAGAGGAGGTGATGACTAACCTAAGACCTGAAATACAAGTAGAAGCAAGCCAGGCATTGAATATTCATCACAACTGCTCATGTTTATGTAATGGTTCCTCGGACCCCGGCTGCAAGTACTTTTCATGTATTACCTCATTTAATTCTCACAACCACCCTTTGAGGTAGGCACTGTTATTGTCCTGTATCCCCATTTTTCAGATGAGGACATTGACTCACCAAGAGATTAAGTAACAAGGCAGGGGTCCTACTGTCTGGAAAGTGGCAAAGCTAAGATGGACTGCACGGTCTGACCCTAGTGCCCTGCTTATCAACTCTGCTTCCCCCCCCCCCCCCCCCCCCCCAG